TTTCAGTCCAGGGATAATCCAAAATCAAAGTCCAGTCTCAAAAACAGTTCAGTAATAGACTCACATCAAATCCAAGAATAACAATGATTAGAACTGGGCGCCGCCATCTTTTTTTGATGAAAAAGTGCTTCCGGTGAGCTTTCTACCCGGAAAAGCTCACCGGAAGCACTTTTTTACCAAAAAAAGATGGCGGCGCCCAGCAACCAGCGGCCCGGTAAGACTTGTTCCGCGGACCGGTACCGGTCCGCGGACCGGCGGTTGGGGACCCCTGCCTTAAAGAGACAGTATTAAAATGTCTATCCTGGTTTATATATTTTCCAACCCAACTGTTAGGTGACTTACATTCCTAACAGCTTCTGGTTATAACTCTTCTTGCTTTCTGGGTGTTCACAGATCTGTTGTTTGATTATCTTTTCCAGGTTATTCCCAGGTATTGATGTCAGGTGGATTGGTCTATAGTTTCCTGAATCCATTTATTTTATTTTATTTTGAAGATGGGAACCATATCAGCTCTTTTCCTATCCTCTGGTTGATTCCTCCAGGATGTTTGAAAAATATGGTTTAATAGTTCTGGGATCACACCTGTCAGCTCCTTCAGAATTCTGGGATGTAATCCCTTTGATCCTGGTGATTTGAACTCATCAAGAATGGATCATGAATCACAATAGGCAAGGCAGGCTGCTGAAAGGCAGAGAAGTCCACATTTATTTATTTACTTATTTCATTTTAAATAAGTAAAGTTTATATGGCTTCCTTTTTAAAGTTTATATGGCTTCCTAATTCATACTGGGCAACATGCTACTATAAAAACAAATCACAATGTCCCAATAAAAATGCTGTTACAAGTACAGGATCACACAGTCAGGGCATGTGTTCTCCTTCCCAGGGGGAACTCGTGTGACATCCTGAACCCAGTGCCTGAGAGTCTCCAAAGCTTTCTTGGAAGCTAAGAGATTCAAGAGCCAGTTGATTCTCAGGAGGGGTGGCGGTGGGGGAGGAAGGAAGAGAGGTCATACTTCTGAGATATTGTCACAAGACCTATAGGTAGTCCTCATCCATTTAGCAACGGTTTGAATTCGGAAGTACTGAAAAAAATGACTTGTGACTGGTCCTTGTTTGCATTTAAGACCATTGCGGCATCCCCATTCAAAATGGGGGTGCTTGGCAACCAGTATGTATCTACAATACTTGCAGCATCTTGGGGGTTGTGTGACTGCCATTTGTGAGCTTCCCAGCTGGCTTCTGATAAATAGAGTCAATGGGAGACGCTGGATTCATTTAAACAATGTCAGAGTATATTCATGAACTGGAAAAGAGCTTGGTAACAACGTCAGCCAATGAATAGGCACAGCAACTAAAACAGCCAATGAGGGCAGTTTGGAAACTGAAACTAGAATTAGCCTAGGCTGGAAACTGAAATTAAAAGTAGCCTAGGCCTGGCTCTATATGAAGCTCTGCAACTATGTTGAGCTCTGAGTCTGTCTATTGAAGATGAAACTAACTTGCTTGCTTGCTGAAGACTGGAGCTCTGCTCTGAACTTGCAACGTGTTTCTGTTTGAGTTTGCTCCATGTTGGAGAAATCTACAACTGGTTTGTAAAATCTACTTACGTATATAAAGATGTTAAATGAAGCATCGGCCATCTGTGTTTATTTTTCTGGCGCTGAATTATCGCTGCAAAACTCTCAATAAACAACTAAAGTGATTTGCTTGATGGCTGCGTCAAAAATAGTCCAAGTATTTCTAGCAGGACTACCAGATTCTGTAACAGCTTTGTTCCCTATGCCATCTAAACTCACAAGGTTCTTTTTTCTCTCCATGTACATGTATACATCCGAACTAGACTGTGTTGTTTCTCCGTGTCATATAATATATGTGGGTATATACACAATTTTGTATTTATTTGATCATGTTTATGTGGTGTACATTGGAGGAGAGCTGTATGCAACAAAATTTCATTTTAATGTATGCCAATTAGTGTACATTCAAAGTGACAATAAAGTTGTTCTAAGTCTAAGTCATAAACTCAAGTGTGATTTACTTAACAATTGCCTTGCTTAGCAACATAAATTCTGGTCCCAACTGTGGTCATAAGTTGAAGACTACCTGTACCACCTAGGCCTCACTAGATGCATTGTTCCAGGGGTGGGACCTAAGAGATGTCCACACTGCTGCAGTGTGTGGGATAGACAGAAATGCCCAGAAGGAAAAGCTGCCGGTAGAGGTGGCCTTTCTGTTGAGTTGGGCATCGGTAGAGGATGACCTTGCCTATTCTTACCCTCCAGAAAACGTGGGGCTCATGGAAGCACCTGGCCAAGTAGATGATGGATTCACTCCTTGGCATAATAAACTAATGAAATGCAGTGCAGCTGAAGCATTGTACGCCATGATAAATCAACCACATCTGGATTCAGCCTAATGTTTATGGCTCTGAATATTATAAGATCAACAGTTGTATCTTTTAAGCAAATAGGTGTCTTCTCTTTCATAAAATAAATAATTTTCTTATTCTAACACACATTTTAAAAAGCGTAAATCCCTTTGAACCTAGTACAAAAAGTTATTTTCCTTCTCTTCCATTTTCTGAAATGGAGTTCTAAATCCGGAGGGAGAAGGGGGTAAACCCACCCCAATTTATCGATATGTTCAACTCAGTACAGAACATACCCATGAAATTACCAACTTTATTTTTCTCTGGAGAGACCTTCCCTGCCCCCAGCGCCTGTGGCGGGCTTTACTATGGCGGGTTTTAAGAACGGGTGGTAAACAACTATACTTACACCTTTACTTACGTAACTTCGTAACCAGTTTTAGACCAATTAGAAAACGGATTCGATCTAAGCCAAGCCTTTGAATTTACAATCCGTGACATGTTCCCTCCCTCCTCGCCAGCCTTTTATGAATGAATTTTGGGCGTTCTTGTTTTTTTATGAATGAGAGTTCCAACAATGAATGAATCTTGGAACATCTCAGCTGATTGGCTCAAAAGCATTCAAACCACGCCTTATTTCAATCTGGTTGAGGGCCTTGCTGAGCCTTGATTGGTTGGGCGTGTCCCAGCAAGCCTAGGGAATTCCCCCCCTCCTTTCTTTCATTCACAAAGTCAATGAAACAAAGAGAAACAGAAAAGAGTCTGTTTTTGTGAAAGAGGAAACGACTGCGGGCTAGAGGCGGGAGCAACTCCACACGGCTCTGTTTTTTTCGCGAAGCAGTATATTCTTCTTGTTTGAAATCAGCTGCCTTGAGGTGGGGGCCGGCAGGGAAGACCTGAACTGACCCCCCGCATTTCTATTCTGAAGGGAGGTGAGGAAAAGACGTTTTCTTAGAAACTTATTTATTTCACATACCTTTACAGAAGTTGGGGGGGGGGGGACGAGGAGGAACTTTTTTTTAAACAGCCATGAGGCCTAGTGGGTGCTGGGGAAGCAGGGCTGCTTTTGTAGAGAGAATCATGTAGCAAACACGGGCAAATAAGAAGATCTAAAGGTCGAAGCCTAGGGGGGAAAGGGCAGCCGATACAAACAGAAGGATATCTGAAGCCGGAGAGATTTAAATCTAATCCTATTCATATTGCAACGAAGTCTTACTGAGGTCAATGGGGCTTATTCCCCAATGTAAGATCTATAGGGAGGTGAATAATGAAGTTTGGCTTCCTCAACTTCTGAAGAGGAGAAAATCGGGCAGGAGTTGATACGATTTAAACTCCTGTCCAGTGGGATGGGCGAAGCAGAGGCTGAGGAAGAGGTAGAGGAAGTTACAGGGCTAAAGGAGCAATAATAATAATAAATAAATAAATAAATAAATAAATAAATAAATAAATAAATAAATAATAATAATAATAATAAT